ATGATTAGGGGGTGATTCTTTGAAGTGCGGTCGATGTCCTTTGTGGAATTCAAACAAGAGAACACAGAACACTTCTTTCGATGGTAAGAGGGTATGTGGCAAGACAGCTGACTGTGAATGACATCTGACTTCACGATGAGTCCAGCACAGGTCTGCTACGCTACCTGCAGACCCATCAACCCCCTATGGCCTAGCACATACACTGCAGCTGCGCACGGATCAAGCTGCGACCGGCTCCAACGCTCCCGACGAAACTCATTACGTATAACAACGCCTGCAGACGCTTGTTGTGGTGCATCTCGAGCGTGGTTTCGCCAAATTCGTTGGGCAAGGGGAGGGGGAGGGGGTTGGAGGGAGCACAGAGAAATGTCTAAGCTCACCCCGAAATACCGGTAAACGGGTTTCTCTCCGAATGCGACCCACTTTCACTGCAGTAAAAAGGCATCGGTCGTCGCCTCGCCCTTACACCCCCTCCCCACACTTTCGTCTCACTGTTGGCCGCTGGAGTCCCAACCCCATCATACGTCACTTGGGTGCACAGGAAACCGCACTCACGCCGGGCCAGCAGAGCGCACAAGCCGTGTGATAAATGTCGCATCGGCAATAAACCGATAACCAGCACTATCACACGCCGTATACGCAGCGCCATACAGGGAACAGACTAAGCCTTAACGCATTCATTAGGGCAACAACTGATGACTTACCTTTATGCTGCGGAGAGATCAAGAGTTTGTTCCACAAGAATTTCGAAACCCCTGAAATGTAGGCAGGCTCTGAAAACACAGAAGGCCGCATATCAACATCACGAAACAGTGTGCAACATTCACATTTTTCGGAAGCAGAAGCAAATTTTTATTGCAAATTCAACCGATTTGTGCGTGTTAGTCACGCGTATTGCGCATTGAGTTCGTGGTGGTCAGAGGGAATGCCAGAGCCCGTGCGTGTAAACCCCTTAGCCAATTTCCGTGCCGCACTTATTAAATCAGTGCGGAAACGCTGGCGGGTGTCACAACACTGGCGGATCACGATTACGTCAGCATTCCGAGAGCTCCTTCACACAGCACCGGCAACTACTCCAAAGGCAGATCGGCCCTAGGGAAATATCGATCTTACATGTACGGACACCAAGCCGAGGGGGGAGGCAGGGGGGGGGGGGGCTGGACCCTCCGATGACCCATTAGTGGCATTTCGGAGGCTACTGACAACAGAGGTTGACTCATGCCTAGCAATCCTCAGTTGGAGTCAGTGCTGCCCTAGGGTCATCTCTGTCAGTTGGAAATTATTTGTGGTAGAATCAAGCAAGAAAATAGACCGATATAATTACAGCATGTAACACCTATTTAAGAAAGGTATTGCTCAACGGTGTTGGTTGCTTTAGGAATGACCAAGTTCCATTCCATGAAATACCACCGTTTGACGACATTCAAACACGCAATGACTGACCTAAGGAGGGAATATTGCCTGTCCCGGTAGCTCAATTAGGTACCCACCCGCCTGTGGCGGGATGAGCTCGAGTCACTTTAGGCCCTTTGGTGTGCCCCTGACTGGGGAAGGCTGCGGGCGGTGGCAGTGGCTACACTCGGGCGTATCCACATCGAAGCCCCCATGGGGTACGTGCCTCCTCTCGTATCAGATGTATGGCAGGCATGTTTAAGTGCGTGAAATAAGATTCATAACAGAAACTCAGAGGCACACCCGTAGATCTTAACAGATCGGAAGCATCGCATCCTGTGTTGCGTCATGAAAACAATTTCACACGCCGCATTCGTATGTTGTGCCCCCCCCCCCCCCCCCCTCCATTGCGACTTCCTGCACACGCCCCTAGCCGTGTAGAGGCCGCATAACGCCAGCGGGCAGGATGGATTGCACCAAGCATTGCGACATATAATGACGCAACCAACAGGCCCCGCAAAAGCCCGCCGTTGATCTGCAATTTCACGATCAGCAGGTGGGGCCAGGGCCCACATAGAAAACACTGCTTATGGTGCGCCAGATCCCCAAATCCGTACCATGAAAAGTTGGAAACGAGACCCTCCATTCCCAGAGGGGTGTAAACGCCAGGCATGGCTCTTGCAGGCGTACGTTCAGTAACGAGTTTAATTCTTCACATTCCGTGACGCATTGGTGATCGCGTTCATCAAGAGTGTAGGACACGGACTCTTCGTGTTGCCTGCTCCCGGTCGGTCGCGGGCCTCCGAAAAACAGTGAATCCGCAGGGGGCGAGGTGGCCCCGAGATCGCACAGGTCACTGCGCACCACAAAGGCATGACAGACAACACAGACCGTCCCCCCCTCCCCCCCTGAGGTGGTCCTCCTTGGAGATCATTAGTCACACCGACATAACCAAAGGTCTCATCTCCCCATAATAGTTCGCAGCATCTGAGATGGATTATGGCCATTCATAACAGGGGTACAAAGACAGCAATTTTGTAGCAAGACTTGCCCCCTGTGAGCCTGACCTGAAGGCTTGTCCCGGAGCACATTCCACCCATGGGGACCCGAATACCGGCACGCATCCGGGCCTCCGTGTCCCGACATGACGCTGAGCGTTCGTTATCGGCACACACAGAGCTGTCCTGGTATGTGGATCATTGGTTAAGATGCAGACCATGCTAGAGGCCATCAGGTATTAAAGCTCTGAAAACATTATCACCAAACCAAACTGTTGCGATCATTTACGTCGTAAATATCGGTAGCCTCGGCCAACCATGTGGCTCGCCAAACATTGCATGATGTAACTGGAGCACAAGCATTATGGGGAGGTTTTCATATGCCAAATCCTACCTGGTAAATCAACAGATGAGTTTGTTATCAGTAAACATGCATCTGTCTGTGCTGCCTTGTTGCAGTATGCTTTTGTGTGCCCATTTATTCAGCCTACCCAGAGTTGCTAACTTGTCCATTTGTCAAACACAATGTCTGGTCAATCACCACTGGAGAGCCTAAGCAAATGGTTCATACTTAGCACTAGTCAAAATGCAACAAATGTAGACACTGAGCCTTAGGTTTGGACTGTATCCTGGCTTGAGACACATGAAGGGCTTTCATGTATCTGACACTGGGTAGGATTATATCTAATAGTGGTAAAGATATCAGCTTGAAGAGGTACTGTCTAGGACAAATGAATTAAGAAAAAAGATCCTGCTTAGCAATGCAAAGCAATGGCACCAGCTCATGAGTTATGAGTCAAAGAACTGTAATGTACCAAAAACAACATATTTTGCATGCATTACAGCAGGTTCAGAGATAGTTTCACCTCCATCTGCTGAGCCCTTCAACCATCAAATCATCTGAAAACATAAGATTGCACTGCTAGATGACACTTAAGACAGGCCACCTACAGAAACAAAAATTACTTCCCACAGCCAATGAAAAATGTATGATAATTCTCCCTAATAAATGAGAGATAGAAAACCAATAACTATTGTGGCATGTGACACACATACACTGAAATGGAGAGGAATAGAGAGGCTAAGGAATGCAGAAAACAGTACATTAAGGACATAATGGGACAGTCAAATATGCCCTTTTTATCAAAGTTAGGTCGCTATTACATGGCCTAGGTGTAAGAGTCTACAAGTAGATAATGTCAAACATTTGGCTGGTCTCACCAATGGAAATGGAATAATTTGAACCCTTAGACCATGTGATGGTGGTAGTTATCTGTATGATTTACTTAGTGGTGAAAATATCAACATATATGAGCAGCCTTGCAGATGATACAACCAGGGAGAGGCACACTACACAAACCCAAACCTTGTGCACATGACTTCCATGTTGACATCAATGCCCACAAAGTGAGTGACATATGTAATAACACTTAATAGCTTCAGCAGCATTTGCATAACACACCACAGATACCTGTAAATGTCTGTTTTCTTATCTGCAGTAGTACTCGAGCCCTTTCCCAACACTTGCACGATAGTTTTCGTTGCACGACCTTGGGAGGGGCAGACCAGACCCGTACAATAACAAACCAATTTCGAGCAGCCCTAGGGGCATTTCGTTACTTTCTCCAACACAGTTTCACCTGGACACACCTCAAAAGGCGATACATGTTGGGATATCTTACCTCGTGAATAGAAAATGGCAAAAAACGAGTGTTTCCGGGCCTAAACTTGGAATTTTACATCAAAACTGACCAGCAGACGATCGGACGAATCTAGCGCGATTTTGATGCTTGCAAGGTCACGGGAAGTCATGGCAGAGGCACCTCTTGACAGTAAAAAATACTATATGTTTTTAAAGGTGGCGCTGATATCGGGACCGACGCACCATGCTAAAGGTGGCGCTGATACGGTGACCGACGGGGCATGCCGAAAATCATTTAGTATTAATATCGGGACGAGGCATGCTGGAAACCAAAGTAGGTATTAGTCATTCACGATTCAACTTTTGACCGACCATACATGAGAATAGAGATGCTGTTAAGTCAACTTCACTCAGCTAGAGCTATATAACTGGCATGGTAATGATGGCGCGGTTTAGTCAGTTCCACTCAGTTAGTGATTTAGAAGTCTCGTCTTGACTGCCATCCATGCAATCACTGGCTTCCTGAATGTTCTATCCGTGGGACGAAGGGGCGTCTCCCCAACTTGCCCAGGTTTACATAACACCTGCAGTCTTGCATGGAAATGCACCTTACAAAAATCGATCTACCCGAGCCTCGTCGCGATAAAAGCTCAACCATCACACGGAAAAATTCAAGATAGGTCATCGCTAGCAGCGGGTCTTGTCATTATCAAGCAAAGGCAAACCGAGGACCCCTGTCACGATGGTCTCAAGCCAGTGTTAGCCCGTGTTATAGCAGTGCTCCAGTAGAACAAATCCTAGTTATTTTAGGACATCTCCCATTGAGGAAGATAACACAGGAAAACATCAGTGATTCAACGGCTGTATTGCAACACATTCATAAACAGGAAAGACCGGTTGGCACAGCCACATAATATAGATAAATGTTGATTTATGTTGGCTAGAGGGGTGAAAAGAATGACCCCAACTAGAACACACAAGTAGGTACACATGCAAATTTGCTCTACACACGTGCCATTTGGCAAATACGTCTACTTCGATATCGTGATCTGCTTTCGATTCGCATTGCCCTTAGATAAATGGTTGGGCTGACACATATCAAGCACACAACATATGCATGCTAAATATATTGAGCATTTTTCAACAACGGATTTGCCAATCCCAATCTCACAACCAGCATCCAGACACTGAAGCAAGCTTTTTGTCCCCCGTCGGTTGGACTTCCGCGGTCACTGAAACACTTTTGCGTCGCGTCGCCAACACCACAACAGGCCGCCCTGGGCCACCGGACAGCTGCACGCACCGCGGAGCTTCCGCAGCATCGGGGGCTGCATCCCCTCCTCTCCTCTCGCCTTCGAAACTAGCGACGGCACGACACACAGCTGCGGTCAGCAGCGGCTGAAGACAACGCAGCAGCACCGGCAGCGCAGGCCGACGCTAAATCCACTTGGACCCGGCGCGCTCCTCCACGTGCATGCCCTCCCGGGCCGTCTTCCAGGCGAGCACCCGCTCCAACTCCTCGTCGCCCCACACGTACACGAGCTCGTTGAAGTCGGCCAGCAGCCTGCTGGCGCTGGAGATGCCCACCATGGCGCTGGCCACGTAGCTGTGGTCGTTGATGACGTTCTCCGAGAGCTCCACGTACTGGTAGGCCTGCATGAACTGCCGGAACGCCAGGTCGTTCTTGCCCTGCGGTGAGCGGAGGGCTGTCAGGTCGGGTCGGGCCATGGTGCGTATACGGCGCAGGTGGCCGCGCCGACCGGCAGGGTTCAGAGCCCACCGCTGGGGAGGCGCGTCGCCCCCCCCCCCCCCCCCCCCCCGAGAAAGCATGCGTGGCAGAGTGGCATTGTACGTGCCGGCGCAACATCAAAGGACTGAATTGTAAACTGCATTGTGAATGGTGCACTCAATACACAATTATCTTGACAGATTTCTCACAGGGGGCGAGGCAAGTGCGCGCAGTTCAACTGAACAACTTGTCCAACATCTTCCAAAAAACTTGCCGTTAGAATGGAATGGTTAAACTTCGAGCATATGCCATAACAACTAATCTCGCTCATCGTCTCAACAGACGGAACGCCACGTTTCAAAACCGGCTGACAATCAGCCAGATCCTGCACGGATCCTGCTGCGCGTCCGCTCGGACCGGCAGTTGGCACGTGACAACTAATGCCTGATTTCACACGGACCGAGGTGCACGGCAGAGCTCACAGACGATTCCATTTAAATGTTTCCGCAGCCAGATACAATGTGTCGTGATCGTTGTGAGGGCTGCAGAGTCACTAGTGTGATAACCAACACCTTATGAAGATGAACATGCAACGGCCATCTGTCCACGGTGCAGCTGGGTTCTCCACTCCGGCGGCTGTCCAAGCCCGCGTCCGAGTCGGAGCCTGAGTCCGAGTCCGAGTCCGAGTCCGGGTCCGGGTCCGAGTCCGAGTCCGAGTTCGAGCCCGAGTCCGAGCCCGAGTCCGAGCCCGAGCCCGAGCCCGAGCCCAATTCGGAGCCCGAGCTCGAGTCCGAGTCCGAGTCCGAGTCCGAGTCCGAGTCCGAGTCCGAGCCGGGGCCCCAGCTGCCTGTTGTTCGCCCTGGCTGGCTCACCATGGAGAGGTAGATGTGACCAAGCTCGGAGCTGGCCCGGATAATCTCCTCGTCCAGGTGCTGCCCGCGCGCGATATGCTCGCTCCTCTTCAGGTTATCCACGGCCAGGGGCAGCTTATCCATACTACGGACGGAGTGCAGACGGTGCCGCGTCAGTGTGCACGCCGCCGGCTCTGTTAGTGTTGAAGCAGCCACTCAACCGCCAAACACACATGCTACTGGATAACGTCCATGTATCGTGGTTCCGGAGGCTTCAGCATGCTAGCGCGTCATAACACAACAGATAAGCCATCGCATTGCTGCGCATAGAACTGCGCGACCCAGTTCCATCACTGGCTCGGTGGGCCACTTCCAGCACCTCCCGCCCTGCCCTGGCGGGGCGTCGTCTACCCAACCAAACCCCGCTTACGCCTCGTGGCACTTGGCGACCTTGAAGCAGCCGGTGCACACGCCCTTGAAGTTGAGAAGCTTGTCGGAGAGGCGCAGGTAGGCGTCGTAGCGGCGCAGTGCGTTCTGCCAGTTGCACATTTTCTCCTGGATCTCACCCAGGTTGTATTGCGCCATCGCCTCAGCCTGCATGTTCTGGGCTGCCAACAGCAGATGGCGCCGCTCATGGTCGGGCCAACACGGAGGGGAGGTGACCTGGTGTTTATCTCAGCGTGTCAGGGCATTTTCGAACATGTGTTTTGCATACGTCATATATGACGATTCGCATGTTGGCAATGTCTTCAAAGCTGGCCCTTAAAATGCATACAAAATATTTCAAATGAGATGACAGAGCCTGGCTGAATACGCGGGTGTAATATCGCCAAAACCGATACTTAATTCTACGGACAGAACTAGCAGATGACGCACCATGCCCCCCCCCCCCCCCTCACGACTGAACGCGCAGCCTGTACACACACGCCAACCGATAGGGCGCCGAAGCTGAACCGATTCCAACCATCTGCATAAACATTCCAACAAAACTATTCGATTGCAGACCTAACACCGGACCGTCAGGGCCCAGGCCGAGCAGCTGTCCGTGGCAGCAACTCGCCACTGACCTTGGTTGGCCATGACCGAGGCGCGCAGGTACAGTTTGAAAGCCTTCTCCAGGTCCTCCTTCTCGGCGGCCACGGCCTGGCTGAGGTAGACGTCCTGCAGCAGCAGGCACGAGTAGCGATAGTAGGAGTAGTTGTCGATCGTCTCCCACACCTGCTTGTAGGAGAGCCGACGGAACTTCTCCAGGTGCGTCAGCGCCAGGTCGATGTTGCCTGTGGTGAGGGGGGAGGGGTGTGAGGGTGCACCCCTGCGCTCCGACCGCACACACGGCCTGACGCCGTGACCGGCACCGAGGCGTTCACAGCGGGGGGGGGGAGGGGGCGGACGGACGGGTGGTCGCGCACTGAACGTAGCCCGTCTTAGGAATCGCAGAGATAAATGAACAGCGGACATAACTGGAATGCATTTTAAGTCAGCTTGACAGTTTTTGGAGTGCACCTTTCAACTGAAACGCCTTTAATGCTAGTCACAGCCATGCGTTCTGAGAGATCGATGGTTAATTATTTGAAGTGACCACGCTACAACTCCTACAAGTGTCTCATAAGCGCAGCCCAGTATCAATCACATAGTACACATGAACACATGATATCTAAACACAATAAAAGGAATTTAACCCACGTACATATACATACAAAGCTATTCGGATGCCACAAAAAGCAACAAAGGTGTCTCCGACACGAATTCTGATCCAACACGCTATCCAACCTTTCAGGTCGTCTAGCGCAGCGCATGTCTCAGGCACATCAACCAGTTGGTCATGAAATGAGTGCCAATTACCTTACAGCATTGAGTTTTGAAAGATGTCGACATTTTTGTGTAAAAACTTTCGGGCACGGCCGTTGACCGCATACAAAACCCGAAACGGAAAACGGCTATTCAGTTTCGGGTTTAGTATGTAATCATGGGCCGCGCTCGAAAATGTGCACCATCTCCAACTTATTTCAAAACCAAACACTGCGAGGCCATTACTACTTTCTTCATGACTGACTGAAAAGCATCTTACCATCAAAGAAATTCATGATGCCCACGTTGCAATGCGCCTCGCTCTCCCGCATCTTCCCGTCGTCATCGATCTTCTTCCCGAACTCGAGGCATTTATCGAAGAAGTGGTTAGCCAGCCACAGATCAGCGGGCTCTTTCAGGAAGAAAAAGGCCAGGTCGTTTGCGGAGGCGTACCCGGACATATAATCCACTGCAAATTAAATCAATGATAAAACGATTGACTTAAGTTAGCACAACGAAACGGTCATATAATCCACCGCAAATCAAATAAATGAGAAAAAATATGGACTAAAACCAGCACAACGAGGTGAAACGCATCAAGGGGTACTTTGTGCAGCTATTACGACTGGCTACAATTCTAAGACCCCACCCCGCAATGCCGTTATTCGTCGTCATAATGGGGAATGCATCTCCTAATTGGATACAAAGACAGGCATCACATGACGACACTGCTCGAAAAAGGCTCGTCAACCAGTGGAAACAGCATCAAAACTACGCCAACGACCTAGATTCACTTTGTCACCACCAGTCATGGGTTATGCTTTTATTGACGTTAATTCACATTTGATTACCCCCCCCCCCCCCCATTCCGCCCGAGCACACATTTCCGGACAGCCTCTTCCATGTCGACGAGGCACTGCTTGAGCTTCTGCAGCTTGTGCGGCGTGTATTCGATGAGCGCCGGCGGATCGGCCATGGCCGCCTTCACCGCCTCGTCGCGTCGCAGGATGTGGAACATCTCCGTGTGCGTCTGGTGGCAGCCTCGCTCCAGCACGTCGATACAGAAGTTGTGCTTCATCTCGCTCCGATGGCTGTCGTGGGAGGGCGGGGGACAGGATCACGGGATTTGGGACGGGGTCATAGGATTGGGGACCGGGTCACGAGATTGGGACATGGCCACGAGATTGGAGACAGGGTCATGGGATGGGGAACAGGACCATGGCATGGAAGACAGGGTCACAGGGCGGGGGACGGGGTGACAGGATGGGGACGGGGGACAGGGTCACAGGGTGGGGGACAGGGTCGGATGGAGAACAGGGTCACAGGATGGGGGACAGTAGAGAAGGTGGATGCGGTATGGGATGACAGGAGACGGACTGCGACGGTAGTCACAGGAAGCAAGGAACAAAACAGGGAGGGGACGGTGGACAAGGACGGGACGCGGAGGACAAGAGACAACGGACCGGAGGCCGAGAGGATGGGACGGTAGATGGCCGAGACAAGGAGAACAAGTGAGAATTCAAGGAACAGGAACAGAGAACATGGCGCAAGCAAACGACAAGGGACAGTGGGCGGGAGCGGAAGGGGAGAGGAGTCACATGGGCTCGAAACGATGGCGAGGAACCAGTACGAGCTTCGTGATTAAGATAATATATGGTCTGTACGTGGCGCGTGGATACACAAAGAATATCATAAAACGAGGAACAGGGGGGGGGGGGGGGGGAGGGGGAATTCCGGCAGCAAGAGCGCCGGGTCAGGGCAAATATCATCCTCTCAATAGGCACGTTACCACCGACGGTTGGGGTCGCTCACCAGTGGGCGCTGGCCCTGCTCAGCATGGGCAGCTGGCAACGCTCGCGCAGAATGCGGTCCTCCAGCTCCTGCTCGGCCGGCATCCGGTGCTTCTTGGTCGAGTACGTGCGCTCCATGGTACGCTGTGTTTCTGCCATCTTGGACGGCAGGCGCCGCTGAGAGCTGGTTGGACGAGACCCTCGTGTGACGACTGGCAGTCATGTTACAATCAGCCCACAACAGTGTCATTCGCAATGAAAAGCTGTGGTTGTCGATGTTACTCAAAGTATACAATGCTTACCAGTGGTATTTCATTCCCACCCTTGAAAACCAACACCTCAGACAAAGGCGCCAATTGATGACAACAACGTAATGGCGGCTCACATTCCACATCCCCTAACGCCCGCTCACAGCACCTTTATTCCAGCGGCCCGCCTCTTTCCAGCCCCACGGCACCTGCCACCACTCTTGCCGCCGGCCGTCGGCCGCCGTGGACACCGCCCGACCACGCACCTGGCAGCGCGCTGCGGCGTCTCGGCCGGCGCGAACCGGCTGCGGAAGATGGGCGGCAGGAAGGAGCGCACCACGCGCCGCTGGCTGCTGATGAAGAGGCGCGGGTCGCGCTGGCGCAGGTACTGGCTGATGATGCTGCGCTGCTCGCTGGCGCCGGGCCGCGCCTCGCCGCGCTCGCTCAGGATGGAAGCGCGCGGCTGCGTCAGGTGCAGCAGCCGCTCGCGCAGCGCCCGGTGCCGCTCCTCGGCCAGCTGGCGGCACCGGCCACAGGTTGGGCGTGGAGCACAGAGCAGTGAGTATACAGGCAGGTAGGGATAATGGGCGGGGAGACGAGGGCGCTGTTAGGGCGCCTACTGGTGTCAATGAAGATGGATGGAGCTAGCAGTGAACAAAGCACTCTGCACTAGTCTTTATGTTTGGATATGAGCCACCTTATATGTCGGCCTAACAGCAATTCACACTGACATTTCACAACCAGTCGTAGGATTCTTTTGAATGGTAAAATACAAGAACATTATTTAAGTGCATACCTCATATTGATCCTGCTCTGTTTTCTCTTCTTTTTCTCCATCTTGGCCACCTTCCTCTCCACCTTTCTTCCCAGCAGCCTGCATGGAGGGCGTCTGAATGCTAACCCTGTGATGGAACGACGCTTGCTCCGCCGATCCGGAGGCCGACACGGGGCCAGAGCCCTTTGACTGTGCTGATGTCTGGCTGTCTCGGGGCACTGATGTCACGGACACCTGGCTGTCTCGGGGCGCTGACGTCACGGACGCCCGGCTGTCTCGGGGCGCTGACGTCACGGACGCCCGGCTATCTCGAGGCGCTGACGTCACGGACGCCCGGCTGTCTCGGGGCGCTGACGCCACGGAGGCCTGGCTGTCTCGGGGCGCTGACGCCACGGACGCCTGGCTGTCTCGGAGCGCTGACGTCACGGACGCCTGGCTGTCTCGGGGCGCTGACGTCACGGACGCCCGGCTGTCTCGGGGCGCTGACGCTACGGACGCCCGGCTGTCTTGGGGCGCTGGTGTCACGGACGTACCGGCATTGATGTCCTGCCCATTCTCGACGTCCACCGCACCCTCCTTCGAGCTAACCACAGCAGGCACTGAGCGGATGGTGCCAGCTGGGCCAGTCGCAGCACCGCCCGCCCCCTCTGTCTGGGATGCACTGTGGCTCATGTCTGCTTCTGTGGCAGAAGGCAAAACATAGCTTTTGTTGGAGATTATGACCCAGCTAACCAATTTTGCAACCCTGGTGAGCAGTCATGGCAATTTAGGTTTTCAGTTGGTTCCTATAGATGTAATCAACTTTTGGCTGGCAAAGAATCCAGGAAATGCACAAAACCAAAGACACTGAAATCCCCCATAAAAGTAAGGCAGCAATAGCACAGCCTGTTCAATGTGGCACAACTCACAAGATTCTGACAGTGACTGTCTGGTTGAAAAGGAAGATACCTGAGATTCTAATGATGGAGCCTAGGCAAAGAGCAATAAGAGAAGGAAGGTTTTGAACAGCACAACACTTTGGCAAGATTGAGTTGAAAACAAAAGACCTAATCTAAACCTTTGAAACTAATGGATTTCTGGGATCAGAGCACATCCTAAGCAGTGCTTCCTGTGAGTGCCCTAACTCCTACCAACCTTGCAATGGCAGGCCAATGGCATGACCTAGTAATGAAAGTTTAACATAACACAAAGCTAGGCAAGGTCTGTTGTGCTATCTGATGTCTCCTGACCTTAAGCATGGCTGCTGCAAACAGCCATAGGCCATGCCCATCAAGAGCAAATAGTCAATGCCCAAAACAGCTATAACCCACCATACCAGGGGTAGGTGGAGTGGAAGGCTAGTGCTCAAACCGACTGAGCTATTGGAATTTACAGGACCACAACTCATTTTATTTTTGAGTTTTAAAATCTTAGAGCCCCATAATATTAGTTTCTCCTCATAACTAGCAAAACACATGCAATTTGCCTGGGATATCTAGCCCAATTAGGGTCCAAACCTACTGCTGACTATGAGGAAAGCTTTGTAACCAGGTGGATTTTTACCAATACATAGCTTGGTGTGTAGGCAGGAAAAGCAAATTTGTTCATGCTGCAGGTACTCAACATTTGTTGTATGGCACATGTTAATATCCATGATCTCAAGCTATATGTATGCAGCTACAAAGACTAGCTGTGAATTATTACCTTTTTGTGCATAATTTTACTTGCAGAACAACTGAAAAGGCCAGAGTACATGCCCAATCAACATGCACTCATATTAAACATGTCTCACATAGCAGTGAGATTGCAGCAAAAGTTCAGCACATGCTAACAGTAAATCTGGGCATTCAGGGTTTGATGCATGGTTGTCACCAATTTTGGCATACAGGTCAGCAATGCTTCAAGGTATTATCATGTTGCAAACATTATTTCTGGCAGAAAACTCCTTAACTTACTGAGCAAAAATAATTTATAAATTCAGCACAATTTTGGCTGGTGTGAATTTAGCTCACACATACCAGCCTATCTGGAAACCATAGTAGATCTTGATAGGATATCATTGGAGCAGAGGTATCAGGAAAACTTCTCCTTTGGGCCAGCTTATCAATATTTTTGTGCAGAAATTATTGAAATAGACCAATGAGAGGATCATGTATTTGTCATCGAAACAGGAAAGATCACAAAAAGACCAAAGGTGATGGTAAGCTACATCTTTGGAGGTAAGCAAAGATAAAAATGATTCCCCAAATGCATCAGTTCTCCACTCTTTTAAGGGTAAGATTGTCTGCCCCAAACATCCCATTTGCATGTTTGCCACGGTTTGCAGACTGATGTGCCTGGTTGTGCGCAGCATAGCCTTCTGGAGCAGTGGATGATCTTTTTGCATACTGGCTCTCCACCTCTTGAATGCATTCCTGCCGGCAAAGACTGCTAATCTAGCTGACCCCAAACACACTAACCCGCCGGCATTGATGTGGGCCGATGAACAGTCAATGAACATCAGTGAACGATTTTCATGACAGGCCACTAGCTTTTCCAGCTGATAGTAATGCTACTTTACACCAATGCCTCTTTCGAAGATCACTTACACCAAGGGTCTTCCACGAGGATTGCGAAATCATTTGAGATCGGACAGATTCAAGATCACATTGCCCGCGCACACGACTATATCAAGGTCCGCGTACCGCTTGTACGCTTGCATGCTTACGATCGTAGCAGAGGGGCGGCAACGAGAAAATGCTCGGTACAAATGTGCTTTGTAAAGCATCATTATCCGTCCTAACACGTTGTTTTGTTTTTGAAATTGCATTATATTTAAAGACACGTTGTCCATAGTAAATATAATTGCCGTATATACTGTTATTATATTGAACAGCGCGTATTCAATCTGCTTACGTTTTTGGGTAGTGCTCCAACGCAGTGGGCGGGGTTTCAGTTTCTGTATCGATATTCACACAACATAGCCATACATAAAAACACAGCCTTTTGACCCAGAGACCATAGTACAATTGGATTGTAGCAACTTTTTCTTAAACTACAGTAGACCTTTGTTACAAATACTGATGCGCCTTAGGTGAAATTCACGCATAAAAAGGTCTCAATCGATAAAGAAAATGCATGGCGCCGAAGTTCCCGGATGCGTGTCAAGTCGGCAGTGGGAGGCCGCGCTGTGGTGTGTTGTGTTGGCGACGCTTATTTCCGTCGTAGATGTCCGAAGTCTGATCTATCTTCCCCGTGCTTTTAGCAGATCACAGGAAATGAACATGAAGAAACTAGACCTTCATTGAATCTCATGGAAGGTAAGGGTCACTGCATTGTGTTAGCATATGCGATTGGCGCGGTGTTGTGTTTGCGCAGAACTTGCGCGTCATTGCCATGCCCATGAGAATGCTTAATTTAACAACTGCCTCCCGGAGCAAAACAAATCCCTATCAGGCATCGAAACTTAATTGCGTTTTATTTTTTCACAATCAAGAGCATGAATACTGGAAAAGGACCCATCAGTATGTGATGACCTAAATCAGTTACTAGGCCAAAGTTTAAGATTATTGATAAAATGTGGTAGAAATGCAGCATGTATCCACCATCTTGTTTCATTTTAAGCTGAATACAGATGATCACTATTTTTGGAGCTGCTTAGATATGTAATTCACCAGCATTTGTGGGCATCAAACACAATTATAAACATTAGCTCATGTGTATTTGGAGCCTTATGATTAGATACCACAAATGTCTTCACAGGTATAATTTAAAAGTTAGTCTATGCAGCCATTGCATGCCCACAAATTTTAAGGTTGTAGTAGAGTATGGATAAATATCAAGCATGATACAGAAAAAGTAGCTGGTTACAATATGTGTTTTAAAACAATGATGAAGATGGTATAAGCATTAGTGTGGTTTGAAATCATATATGACTGGGGACTTCCAAGAACAGCAGCCTGCCAAGTGAAGCACCATACCACAGCATGTCACAGGCATTGGTCAACCTTTATATTGGGCTGCACTGAATACACTGAATACAATTCTGCACTGAAGATCATTGTGCTGCAGTATAGGGAAGTGCTGAAGGTGAAAGTATGTTTTAAATTGGGTCAGGGAAACCTCACAGTCTGACAGATTCAAAACTAAAGGGCCTTTTTCTCTGCTCATAGACAATTGGAGCTTTACTGCTTCCCCTCAGATCCTCTTAAAGACAAGTCAACCTAAGTAATGATGGCCTGTGGGGCCCAGCTGCATGTATGTATAGCTGGATTGGTTATTGTTAGTGATTACTGCAGGAAAAAATAATTGTAATTTTGCCCTGCTAGATCAGGTTATGAAGACACCAGGACTCCATGAGGCATGCTGTGCAATGACATTTCACAACTAGTTGATCATGGGAAAATTGATATTTTGCAGCCCTTGAGGCATTACATTTTATGCTAATATAAATCTATCAGTGGATTAATTCATATTTAGCATATGAATGCAGGCAAGAAAATAGTTACACATACTGTGCAGTATTACTAAATACTGTACAGTATCCCACCAATTTACCTTAAAAACTAAACATTGCACAATAACAATAGTTTGGGTATAACAAAACCTTATTCTCTAGACTGTTCTGATCCACCTATATTATTTTCATTTAAGTGTAGGATATATCAAATTCAGCTGTAAAGGTTAACATCACTCCCAAGATATTCAGTTGGATCATGTGACCCAGCTTCACCACAGATGACAGAGGCAGATTACATGTAATGGGATCACATTGTAATTTGTAGTGATGCATTGTAGTGAATATTGATATAGGTGACACATGATTAGAATGCACAATATGCATATTATTATTATACACTGTATAGGAATTGAATTGCAGCTGTCAAGAATTCCCAGCATGAGAAAGCATCAAGACACCATAAATGGAGCATGAAGAAACAAAGGGCCATAGACATTGTTGCACCCGTGAGACAGCTTGTGAACACCAGCGTGGCCAGGCAATAGCCGGGCCAAAAAAGGAGTTATAAGTTATCTGTGGAGACAGGAGCAAGACCATCCTGAATGTCAAAGTAGTCATCTGGAAAGGCCAGGGACCCTGAAATTACAGGGTAGTCCATAATAGGCACATTTTCATGATGCTTCAGGAACTCTTAAGTCTCTCATAGGCAGTCTAAGGGGTGCTGGTATTGTAGCGACTAATGCATCTGTGTTAACATCTGCACATCTGGTAAACCAGAGGTACAGGATTTGATTCCCAGTGGTGCCTGCCCTCCCTGCCAGGGAGGGCAGGCACCACTGGGATCTGCTCTCATTTCTGTGTCCTTTCAGATCCTCTACAGGCTGCCCATTTGTTTACAATGTGGAGGAATGTTACTGTGTCCCAGTGTGTTGTTTTACAAGGTGTTTGTGAAACTGCATGCAACATGATTGAATACTAACACAGGTAACCATGATTTTGTGAAGCATGATTAAAGATATATGTAACCATGTCATGCAAAGAATGAGGGGCAGGCATTGCCATAAAGCCTCAGCAGCTGTGTGTGGTGTTAAGCTCCAATGGCACATGCACACATAGGCAATCTGAATTGGTTTAGAAACAAGAACAGTTGAGGTGGGAGTTGATGTCTCCAAAATAGCTAGATGGTGACTAAGGTGGTCTTAAGTGGTCATGAAGCTGGTAGGCATGGTCAGAAGGATCTGGAATTTCTGGTGTATGAAGGGCTCCTGTGTCCAGGGGCATCAGGGGATGCTAAGCAACCTTCTGGTGGCTGTGGTGTTGACCAGGTAAAATAGTTGTGGTTCCAGAGGATTTCCTTTGATGTATAGGTTTGTAAATGACTAAGATAGGTTACTAGAACACTTACAGGCATGGGGATGGTCACCAAATTCCAATTTGGTCAAGACCATAATAACACAGTTGATACTCTGAATTCATAGCTTAAGTAGTCTCTTAAGTTTGTTGAAGATGCTTCAGTGGAACATAGGATCTCAGAATAATGTGTTGCATTTGAATATGGCTCATGCATAGAAGTGAGGAGAAATCCAACAAACAGATTCATTATTGGTGTGAAGCACCCTCATCACCCATGTCCAGTGAACGGGATCTTATTGTTGGCGCTGGTCATGGTCCCCCAACATCTGCTCTCATTTCTGTGTCCTTTCAGATCCTCTACAGGCTGCCCATTTGTTTACAATGTGGAGGAATGTTACTGTGTCCCAGTGTGTTGTTTTACAAGGTGTTTGTGAAGCTGCATGCAACATGATTGAATACTAACACAGGTAACCATGATTTTGTGAAGCATGATTAAAGATATATGTAACCATGTCATGCAAAGAATGAACACAAATGAACACCTCTCTGTAGAAAGTTATGATGTGCTAAACAGATCCATCTGAGGCTGTTAGCTACCTGGTTGGATTAGATATCTCAGATATCAGGACTGTTTGTTTCATTTAAAGACATAACTTAGATGTTAGTCTGATGTGTGTTAAACTGTTTCACTGTTGCATCAAGTGTTCTCTACATTTACATTTGTGTTCATGACATCTCATTATTATCAATGTTATTGAGACATGTGCTCCATTTTGCCACCAGATTAGTATAGGTGAATGTATAGGTGCAAAGGTAGTATTAGATGAATGTACTAGAATCACCACCAAGCAAAGCATTGCAGTGCTCAGTGTGAACAGAGTATACCAGTAAGGCATCAGAGGATCTGTGGTCTACAGTATGAACATAATTAACCAGCAAGGCATTGTGGGACACAACAAAATGCATAACAAAAATAGAGGTCCATGATGTCCTTAACATCAGTGATGAAATAAGCAAGTACCTTTCATGCAATACTTATAACCTTGGGATAGTTTGGGTAATTAATTGGTATGTCAAAACCCTTGTACACACATTTGGCCTGTTTGAAGTTGCAATGATGCAAATCATTGTCAGTAGCATTCAAGCAGCAATGTATTGTTGTTTTTTTTAATTATTTCTGATGCTCAGGGGTCTTGCTGGAGGTAGCAATGGGTGGTTTGTCTTGAAACATGCATCTTTGAACAGCAGTCCATGTGAAACTTTTGGGTAATGGGCACATTGGGCATGCAGTGCTGCATGGAAGATTAGAAGTTATGCTAATTTTTGAAGATGTTGCAGTTTTGTATTCAAAATGCTGACCTTTATGGTGTGAGGCTGCAAAGTTATGGACCTTTGAAAAATCTGAGATTGGCTTAACGATTTGGACACAACCCTTTCACTTTTCATATCGCTGCTTGGGAAAAGAGGAAGCATCTTCTAGCGTGGTAGGCCTACCAGCGTTAGGTGGGACAGCGCCAGTTTGCCATCCCAAGCACCATGTCTCCTTATGTTTCACAAATGCTTTGCGGGCCGCGCGTGTCGCGGCTTGTTTCCATCTGCCGCCGATGCCGTAACCTGTGTATCAACATCACTGCTCTCTGTGAATGCCATTAAAACACAGTCAATAAAGCCATCAAATTGCTGAGTTTTTTTATTCCAATTGGGGTGGGATTTTACTCTCGCAGACCAGCCAGCGATGTGAGGTGGTTCATGCTGTGTTCTGAGTGCGGTTGCCGCGGTGTAAATTCAGGGTTTTTAGCCGTGTCGACTGTCGTGCCGGTTTTAAGCCGTGTGGCCACGCAGCACCCGTGACATTTTGGGCCTAGGGCCAATGTATCACTGGGGTTGTTGACGACTGCAATTTGCCTGACTAATAGCAGTTCGTGCAAGTGGTGAATGTGTAGAAGTTTGTTCTGGAATGTAAAGAATAAGGTTTTGGGAGTGGAAGAAAATGTTATGTCATCCTAGCTCAAATTTTGTGCAACTGCTGAAAACTTGCCACACAACCGGCCCTGGTCACAAGTTGATTCCAAAAACAGTACATGGGTCTGTGGGGGGCATTCTCATGTATCATGGTAAACAGATGTGTCAGTGTGGTAAGCAGGGTGCATGCCGGCCCCACAGTTCAATCAGCGGGCGTTGTAGTGTTCTGGCCGACACTGGTGGAGGGCAGTGTTTAATTGCTGATGGTTAACCTTTCATTTCAGGTCAGCCTTCCTCGAAACCGTGTTCCTGGATCCCGCGCAGTGACGCACCTGCAGCAAGCCTCTTGTTGCCTCCTCTCTCCTTGTTTCCCTTCCTGCGTACAATGATGAACATTGTAAGTCCTCTGTAATACCATTTTGTGTATTTCCTCCATCATCTTACCCTTGCAGCAGCATGAAGTCTGTCTGCGCTGTTGTGTTCTGCTGTTTTGTACTGGTGTTGTGCTGACTGCTCAGTTTGACATCAGTCAGCCTATGTTGACCTGTGGAGTCACAGTAAATAATCCCAGCCGGGCATCTGGGGAATTTGTGCTCATGAACATGGAGTTGTTTATGGGCTGGTAGCCATCGAATTCAGTGGGTTTTCTCATGACGTTTTCCGTGGTATTGCCATTCCGATGGCCTCATTGCTGTATTTATATTGTTTCTTGGGGTCGATGGTCAATGGGACATTTTGAAATGGGAACCTGTGTGGCATTCTCATAGTTAAAAGCGAGCAAAGCCTTTGAATCAACCTCGAGACGGTTTTTGCTCGTTGTTCTAGCACATATTGTCGGGATTGTGCTTGGATTACTCCTGGATCATAGATATTTCCCATTTCAGGTTTGTCCTCCTTTCCCTCTCGGCCGGATACCGCCGGCGGCTCATACCTCTCCGTTCATACGGGATCGTTACAGAAAGAAAAAGTCTAGCGGATTGGTCTAGTGAAACGAGTGAAGGATGGGCGAGTTGGTGGCGGGTTGATGACGGATGGGCGAGTTGGAGGTTGATGAGGAGATTAACAGGACACGTCGCCGGGTACAGGATTCAGTATGGAGGCACAAATGGGATGTGACCACATGCATCGCGTTCCCTTTTAAAAGAAGACTTGCGTTCAAACAGGGTGATGCGCCATGTTGCCGATTAGCATGACGTCCATTCCATGACGGGCGAGACCTCTCAGTTGTGGTCATCTTCCGAATTAGGGCCGTTTCACAGAAAGTCCGCTGAAATCAGGCCTGAATTCCCATCCCATGACGGGCGAGACCTCTCAGCTGTGGTCATTTTCCCGAATTAGGGCCGTTTCAGAGGAAGTCTACTGAAACCAGGCATCAGTCGTCGCTCCCCCATTCACAGCTGTCGGGGCGGACGCCAGCGGTCGGCGCTACCGAGGCAGTGCGGTAGCTGTCGGGCCAGCGGACAGATGGGATGTAGTGTCGGTTTGGAGGACACTTCTGCCAGCGAGAAGCGCGAGCACACCGAGCCTGTGCGATCAAGGGTCGTCAGGTTGTCGTCAGTCGGCGGACGCGTGCCATATCCGAGTGCGGCCAGTTAACGTTGTCGCCGACCCAACTACATCATTGGACTTTGCGGGCTTTCGCACTGGTTCGTTGAGTTTGCTCCCCGGTTTAAATTGGAGGCCGATTCAGTCGCGGTTGGAAGTGCGAAATGCTCGGCCGTGCGCGGTTAGCTCTGGCTTGCCCACTCTTCAGGTCTGCCATCCCATATTCTGAATATTGGCTTCGACACGTGATACATCGCGCAGCTGTGTGCGACAGGCAGAGGCGCGTCCAGGAAAGAAAACATGGAGCACGCCGTCGGCGTCACCCTCGGCTCGTGATTAAAGCAACCTTTCAACCTTTTAACGTTTTGCGCCGTAACGACCAGTCCAAACTGGCTGCCGGGTCCGCGCCATGCTGCGCTGAGTGCGCCTGTGGGGCCAGCTGTCGGGTCAGGACGGCGGATGTGCGGGTCCGCTCTTCCACCGAACACCTCAGCCGTGTCGCGTCGGCTGAACGCGGCCGCAGTGGGGCCCTAAGTGGTGTGCCCTCAGTCCGTCCCCTACAGCCGGCGCCGCGCGACGCGCCATGCGTCGGCACGTGCTGCGGTCCACAAAAGTGGAGCAATACTGTGGACGACCGCTGGGTTTGTGTTGGTCGTACCGTCTTTATCGCTTGCCAGTGTGTTGCCGTGGGCGGTCTCGCCTGTGTTGTATCTGATGCCGAGTTGTCCGGTCTTTCAGATCTCCAAACGTGGTGGGAGATTCCAAGTATTGCCCATTTTTGTTCGTTGTTTCGGGCAGCTTTCAACCTTCTTGATTTTGATATCGAGGTAAGTCGGCAAGTAATCGGATACACACGCCTATTGATGCAATTTATCGCATCAAGTGGGCATTGCCTTTTTTAGGGCATTCGGAAATGATTTTGAAATAACCTGGTATTGATGATGTGCTGTGCTTTGTCGTAAGTAACATACATGTGTACTCCACAGAGGCCCTTACACGTATGTACATGTATATGCGGCATTTTGGAATATGTGCCACAGTCATACTGCGGCGTGAACGTAGGCTTGGTCGCCATAATCACACCGTCGCCACCGAACACCGGATAGCACGTGCACATGCAATGTCGGGGTGCCGGTAGTGTAGTGGTTAGCACGTATGCGTTAACCACTGCGCGTCTGGGAAACCAGAGGTACGGGGTTCGATTGCCCGCGGTCCCCGCCCTTCCTGTCAGGGTGAGAGGCAGGCGACGCCATATAGCCTCAGCAGCTGAGTGCGTCGTAAAGCCTCAATCACACACACACATGCAGTGTCCGTCCGGCACCTGACCTGTCCACGTGCGGGCTGTCGGATACGGCGGCGAGGCGTGCGAGCTGCCGTCTTCTCACTGCGCCATATGCCGGGCGGTGTTGCAGGACTTGGAGCAGGGTCTGTTGGCGGACAGAGACGACTCGCCCCTACTGCAGCAGCTGTTGGTCAGGCTGCTGCAGGGCTGTCTGCCCGAGTACGATGTGTCGGCGCACAACTGGCAACATTTTCTGAGGCGGCTCCTCAGGTTCAAGTGCTTGGTATGTCAGTCGCGTGGTATTGCATTGCAAAAGGCGTATTTAGAGGTTGCGTCGGTGTCCTTTGCCTTGATTGCTTGAAGCCGATATTTGCGCCATAATTGAGCCCTTTGATGAAGTTCCCTGGTTGCGGTTTTGGGCTCTACTCAGGCTATCATTATGTAATTGGGATTTTAGGCTTCAACAGACACGCAGGCACGGTTGTTTAATGCGCTTGCGAATGTAGGGAGATCTTTGCTTTGAGCCAGACTACATGTGTACTTGTCTCCGACCAGCTCCCACCAGAGCAGATTTCAGCCGTTTGTCGCACCGTCGCGGACGTGGTCTGCCTTCAAAGGGAGTGTCCCAAATACGGGTAAATCCAGGCCGTAGTATAGCGTTTCATTGGATTCCTGGGATGATAACTTCATGCTCGCGAGTCGTTTCGTCTAAGCTGGATGTTTCGAGCTTTCGTAGCATTTATTACACAAACATTTTGACACATATGTGTGTTGCAAACGTTACAGAACACACATGTGGAAAAGAGAAAGGCAAATTAAATGTTTTGCTTTCGTAGTGGTGGGCAGGGAGTCAAATGGGATTTCGCCCGCAGGGTCGACTGCTTCAAATGGAAATTCTAAGCTATTCAGAGGATTTCGAGAACAGTTATTGGTGATAAAATCTTACGCGTCTGACGTAACAATAAGTGATACGTACAAGGAAGGTGGGATGCCACCTTCAGTGGTCCCTCGGATCGGGCGACGCAGCTCGAGGGCACGTCGTGGCTTCGGGTCACTAGAGCAGGCATCCAACCGCCGGGTCCGAGAAGCCGTGATAGATCCGCTATAGTCATGCCTGCTACGGGGGGCACCCTGACAGCAGTCACTGGATTAATGCTGTCCCGCAAGGACACCGAAAATGCAGTCCCCGCGGCGTGCATTGTGAAGTGTGCACGTCTGTGTTTCTTCGGCGCGAACCAGCAAATGCACTCGCGATGACCAAGCAAAGTTTAGAAATCGTATTCCGGCATTCATCCATGCACGCTTTCGTTCCGTTTGCACTTGGTCTTGCGTTGTGTGGGTGTCGCCGTTCGGCTTGACTGTCGTGCCACTGGGCGGAGCGGTGACCGGGGCCGCCCCGCAGGAGGACCCGAGCGTGCACAACCCGCTGGGCGCCACCGGTGACTTCTACGGCCTGCCGCTGCGCGCGCGCGTCACCGTACTCCAGCTGCTGTGCGACCTGCGCCTGGAGGCCGAGGACGTCATCGACCTGCTGAAGGTGACCTGACGACCGGGGCACGGTCGTCTGGTGGCCAGGGGATGTGTCTGGCGGCCCGTGATACGGCAGTCTGGTGGCCGGGGGATGTCTGGCGGCCCCTGGGATACGGCTGTCTGGTGGCCGGGGGATGTGTTTGGCGGCTGGGATACGGCTGTCTGGCGGCCGGGGGATGTGTCTGGCGGCTGGGGCACGGCCGTGTGGTGGCCGGGGGTGTGTCTGGCGGCTGGGGCACGGCCGTGTGGTGGCCGGGGATGTGTCTGGCGGCTGGGACACGGCCGTGTGGTGGCCGGGGTGTGTCTGGCGGCTGGGACACGGCCGTGTGGTGGCCGGGGGTGTGTCTGGCGGCTGGGACACGGCCGTGTGGTGGCCGGGGGTGTGTCTGTGCGGCTGGGAGCACGGCCGTGTGGTGGCCGGGGGGTGTGTCTGGCGGCTGGGACACGGCCGTGTGGTGGCCGGGGGTGTGTCTGGCGGCTGGGGACACGGCCGTGTGGTGGCCGGGGGTGTGTCTGGCGGTTGGGGCACGGCCGTCTGGTGGCGGGGGGTGTGTCTGGCGGCTGGGACACGGCCGTGTGGTGGCCGGGGGTGTGTCTGGCGGTTGGGACACGGCCGTCTGGTGGCCGGGGGATGTGTCTGGCGGTGGGACACGGCCGTTTGGTGGCCGGGGGGGGGGGGAGGTGTCTGGCGGCCCGTGATACGGCCGTCTGGTGGCTGGGGGATGTGTCTGGCGGCCCTGGGATACGGCCGACTGGTGGCCGGGGGATGTGTCTGGCGGTTGGGACACGGCCGTCTGGTGGCTGGGGGTGTGTCTGGCGGCGGGGGCGCAGCCGTCTGGTGGCTGGGGACGTGTCTGGCGGCGGGGACGCAGCCGTCTGGTGGTTGGGGACGTGTCTGGCGGCGGGGCACGGCCGTCTGGTGGACGGGGGATGTATGGGTCGGTAGAGACGACGCCGCACTGCGGAACGCGGTGTGGGGTTGTGACCGAAGGTAGTGCGTGTTGATAGTTATGTTTGGTTGTGATTTGGATGCCTGCTGCCATGTTGGGCGGTTGTCTACGCGATGAATACTCTAACGGCGTTTGTCCACTCCGTGTGATGCTACAGAATCTCGAGGCCGACAGCCTGAGGGTAGAGCCGCTGGGCCACGACGACAACGGTGCCACCTACTGGTATTTTTATGGAACTCGCCTCTACAAAGAGGTTCGTACGGCCGCTTCCCCGCACCGCCTGGGAATCGCTCCCGCTGCAGTCCACAGTATGAGCGGGTGATTAGGGCTTCAGGTCGTCTACCAGGTCTCAGCTCTTCATTGGAAAAGTATCGACCTGTGGCTGTAACCTATGACGCCATAGTCAGCTACGTCACAAACGCGTGATGACGCAGAAGCGTAGGGCCGTCCTGGTGCGCTTGCCTGTGACATCATAGATGTAAATTTTAGGCACTGCGTTCGGCAGTGACTTACGGAGCCCCAGTGTGCTCGGTCGCTGACACCAGCGTTAGGCGCGTTAAAGCTGTTGCGTGATGAGGGGCTTCCCTTGGCACTTGTGTGGGATCGCCCGGATGTACTAGTGTTGACTGCTGGCGGGTATCGTGCGCCTGGGGCGACGCCACGTCCCGTCACCTGGCGACGGCTCGTGCCGTACTACACTAATCACCCTGCTTGGCTAAGTACGGCTTGATTGCACCGGGCACGCTTGCTATCTTGGAACAAAGGAGGGTTTATTAGATTTGTTTCGTATCGTTGCTGCAGCAGTGCCGTGGTGCAAGGTTTTCCCACGTGTCTTATCTTTGATTACTGCACTGCTTGCGTTGGAGTCCGCGTTTGTTTCGGCAATACGAAGCTCGCTAACCGCGCGTGTCGTTCGAGGACGGTGCTGCAAAAGTTGTGTTGCATAATTGGTGCCGTATTTTTTTAATTTTAAGCTACGTGCTGAATTATTGTGACCTAAAGACCAAACTGCAAATTGCCTGATCGGAAACGTCGCCATTTTGCATAATGTTCCGCCTTAAAGCGTGAAGACATTGACGCGAGAAGCCGTGGAATAGAAGCTGTTTCGCCACTCTAGTGTTCGTTTCTCGCTTGGTAAGCCCTCTGGCCACTAATCGTGGCGCCGCACGCATTGGTGGCATGCAAGCGCTACGCAATATCATATGTGAATTCTGGCTCGTCCCTTGCACTGTTTGCTGGGGTACTGCTCTGATCGTTCCACGCGTCTGTCCGGGCGTCCCAGCATAAGTGGTGCTCCACGCGGCCCGGCGTCAGCGCCGTTCCCCGTCCAGCCGTGATGCTGCTCCCCGTGGCCCGGCGGCGGCGCCGCTCCTCGTCCCTGTCCAGCCGTGATGCTGCTCCACGAGGCCCGGCGGCGGCGTCGCTCCTCGTCTCTGTCCAGCCGTGATGCTGCTCCCCGCGGCCCGGCGGCGGCGCCGCTCCTCGTCCCTGTCCAGCCGTGATGCTGCTCCCCGCGGCCCGGCGGCGGCGCCGCTCCTCGTCCCTGTCCAGCCGTGATGCTGCTCCACGAGGCCCGGCGGCGGCGCCGCTCCTCGTCCCTGTCCAGCCGTGATGCTGCTCCACGAGGCCCGGCGGCGGCGCCGCTCCTCGTCCCTGTCCAGCCGTGATGCTGCTCCACGAGGCCCGGCGGCGGCGTCGCTCCTCGTCCCTGTCCAGCCGTGATGCTGCTCCCCGCGGCCTACCTGTCTCACGCTGTCCGGGTCGTAACGCAGCCGGCGGCTTGCCCGGTGTTCTCTTCGCACCTGTGACCGTGCTGCTGTCGCGCCGCCGGCAGAGCGCTGAGGACAAGGGCCGCGCGCGCCAGCCCGGCTGGCGGTGCGTCTGCTTCACGGCCGACGACTGGCGCCAGCTGGCCGACTCGTACAGCCGCTCGCGCTCGCCGCTCGAGCTCGAGCTCTACCACACGCTGAAGGAGGACTTCCTGCCCGAGATACCGCGCCTCTTCGCGCAAAAACAGAAGCTGCAGGTGAGAATGGCTGCCCGACGGACTGCGGGTCACGTGGCGGGCGGGGCGGGGGGGGGGGGGGGGGGGGGGGGGGGGGTGAGAGTCAAGAGAGGAGTAGTGGAAGACGAGGAAGTGGGGGCTGTTGATTGATTTTCTGAGCTGCGACGATTGAGCTGCGACGATTTTCAAGAGGGCTGTGGTGTCCATTCTAATGAACCTCTGGTAGCATTTTGCTGCCGTCTCTCCGGTAACGAATTAGCTGTTTTGAACTTGTCCGAGCATCTTCTGCGGGGTGTTTGATGTTTTAACATCAGTGAGTGTCATAGACTGCGATATGTCGGAATGGCCTGCCGTCCTCCACGTCTCACGCCTGCCGTGGACTGGCTGTTGCAGAAGAAGCGTCAGCTGGAGATGGGGCCGCGCCGCCAGTCGTCCCGGGGCCGGCCGCCGCCCTCGCCGGCCTCGCCCGCCGTCGCTCCGCCCCCGCCGCCGCCTTCGCCGCCGCCGCCCGCCGCCGCCGCCCCGTCCAAGACCGTCAAGGGCGGCCGGAAGACCAAGGAGCCTCCACGGCCACCGCCGCCTGTGTCGCCTGGCCACGACAAACAGGACGACAAGAAGTCGTCGCCCGCGGCCGCCAAACGCGAGAAGGCGGAGGCTAAGAAGGCGCCTGCGCCGCCTGCGAAGCGGGAGAAGGGCGACTCCAAGAAGTCCGTTTCGGCTTCCAAGCAAGAGAAGGCAGAGGCGAAAAAGGCACCGGTGGCCGACTCTCCAAAACTCGAAAAGGTAGAGACGAAAAAGTCGGCGGCCACGGCTGCCCACAAGGACTCAACGAAATCATCGGTCACGTCTGCCAAACAGGAGAGGCCAGATGCCAAAAAGCCTCCGCCGGCGTCGCCCAGAACAGAGAAGGCGTCGACCAAGAAGAACAGCTCGTCCTCACCAAAGCCGGACAGCAGGCGGGCGCCGTCGGCGTCACCGAAGCGGGAAAACGCCGCCAGGAAGCCGCCGCCGGCCTCGCCAAGGCCTGAGAAGGTCGGGAAGCAGGAGAAGACTGCACGACCGGACAAGTCGGCGAAGCAGGATCGGTCCTCGGCGAGGAAGGCGTCAGTGTCGCCACGGCAGGAGATGGCGCCGCCGGAGGAGGCGCCGGTGGTGCCGTCGCCCCTCGGCGCCAGCAAGCGGCAGCGAGCCGAGCCGGCCGACGCCACCAAGCCCAAGAAGCGGCCCAAGGAGGAGATGGTGGAGGTGGACTCGGAGGAGGAGCGCGAGGCCGAGCGGGCCCGGGTGGACAAGGAGCGCGAGGAGCGCGAGATGATCGAGCGGGAGAAGGAGGAAGCGTAAGTATGGACAGGTGGCTGCGAGGTGTTGCGTCAGGAGGTTGTTACTTCCTATATATTTTGTCCATCGTTTCCTTTCTATTGGTAGTTTTCGATGTCAAACGTGGAACAGTTTTTGCTCACATTTGCCTGTATTTGATGATTGAGTGACACTTTTTGTCTTTATTTGATAAATGACATCTTTTACCAGTAAGTAGTGTCCAAAGGCATTTGAGAAGATTTGCTTTATCATCGGTGAGATGTCGCGGTGCTGTTTGGCTGCGCGGGACCACGGCTGGAATCGTGCCACCTCGACTGACGTCCACGCGCTCCCGTTTCAGCTTCATCCGGCGCGCGATCGCCATGATCGAGGCGCGTGAGGTGGGCAGCTCGGGCGAGCGGCGGAGCCGTGCCCGCGACTCCAGCCGCCCGGCTGCCGCCGCCGGCGGCGGCGTCGGCCGCGGCTCGCCGGCCGTCCGCAAGCCGGCGGCGGAGCGGCGCCGCGCGCGCCGCAAGGAGCCGCGCCCGCCGCCGCCGGTCGTGGCGCCGCCGCCGCGGCCGCCCGTGCCCACCAAGGCGTCGCGCAAGTACATCAGCGACAGCCTGTCGGAGAGCGAGAGCGCTAAGGAGAACAAGCTGGCCGGCCGGCCGGCGCCGCCGCCGGCCGCCTTCTCCGACTCCGACTCCGACGCGCCGCCGCCGAGCAAGGCCGGCCGGCCGACGAAGGCGCGCCGGGCGTCGGACGAGGCCCGCGGTCCGTTGCGGGACGACTCGAATGCGGCGGCCGGCGAGCGACGCTTCGTCGGCCGGCGCACCAACAACTCGCTGGGCTCGCTCAACGAGCCGCTCTCGGCGCTGGAGGAGGACGCCGAGGAGACGCACGTGCCGGCGGCGCCCGTCGGTGGCGCGAGCAAGATCCGTAGCTCAGCCAGGTGGGTGTGGTAGGCGTGGGCCGACCGCTTAGGTTGGGTGGGTGCTCCGCGGCGACCTTTGAAATGATGCGATGGGACAGGCGGGTTACTGGTTGGTTGGACATGGGGGAGGGGGGGGGGGGGGGGGCACCGGCGTTTCAAGTAGATGGTTTGGGCACAGCACAGAATAACGTAGTATTTTGGAACGATCCATCGACCTGGATATATGCCACGTTTATTTGATCGCAGGTAGCCTGTCAGACTTCGTGCTTGGTGTTTGGGAAGACAGTGAAAAACAGCAGGCGTGGAATATATGAAAACTTCTCATGAGAACAAAGACTTGATTCTGTTTTCTTGTCGGGAGCACAAAATTACCTTAGTAGTCGGCGCGCCCTAAAACCCTAATTATCACCATCACTGTTATCTTATCAATGGTTTGCCAATGGCTGGATATCCTGGCCTACCTGGGGGGGGGGGGGGGGGGCGGAAGAGGGAGAGGGATAGGCATGTGCCCCGCTTACCTCTCGTGTGGAAAACGACGCCCCAGCTAAACATGGCATACATATGATGTAGCTGGTACTGCTGGCACGCGCCATCATTGATCTTCTGCCAGGGCGTTGTGGTTTTCGGCCACTTCAAGTAGCTGGGTCATGTTGCGCCCGCGTCGCCGATTGTCGGCCCGGTGTGGGTGCCCAGCCCTCGGGCGGTGGGCGCGGGTCAGCTCCCGCCTGAAAGCGCCCGTCTGCTGTGCGCCGGCAGCGTGCTGCAAACGGACGAGGAGCTGCGGGTGGGCATGTACAAGGCGCTGGAGGCGGTGAAGGCGCACGAGGAGGCCTGGCCCTTCCTCGACCCCGTGGAGGAGGAGTACGCGCCCAACTACTACGCCGTCATCCGGCGGCCCATGGACCTCAACAAGCTGGAGAGTCGGCTGGACGCGGGCGTGTACCAGACCCGCGAGCAGTTCGAGGCCGACTTCAAGCTGATCGTCGACAACTGCAAGCTGTACAACGGTCTGGAGAACGGTGGGTGATGCGATCGACTGGATGTGTGGGGACGCGCATTGCACTTTGGTCCTTGGTTGACGCAAGGAGTGCGTAGACGCTACTGTATATGTTAAAGCTGAGTTAAGCTGTGCTGGCCAAATACGCCTAGTAAATTGGTGATTCAAGCATTGTCTGGAGACGTCATTTGCAGGGTGAATGAGACATTTTGAATTATGTATTTGCTATCCGGTTTGGGAGACCTCTCTCCCCGTCGTGGGATGGTCCCCGCGATGATGTTCGTTGACAAATGCGTTAGCTGCTTGGTACTTTTGCGGCGAAAAGGATCGTTGCATTTTCTGGACGCTGCGCTTGTGTTAGCGTTTTGTCGTGGTGTCCGTCTGTCGTGAGACGGGCTCGTCCTTCGCGCGAGGCCACTCATCCTCTTTCACCACCCGCAGAGTACACGGAGATGGTGGTGAACATCGAACGCGAGTTCCGCAAGGCGGTGCACAAGTACCTGGACATCGAGGAGGACGAAGACGACATCTTCATCGACGTGTCGCAGGTGCAGCCGAAGCAGCGGCGCGCGTCGCCGCGGCCGGCTACCGCCGGGCCGGGCAAGAAGCGCGGCCGCAAGCCCAAGGCGGCGGCGGCGGCAGACGGCGGCGAGCCGGGTCGCCGCGGCCGCGGCCGCAAGAAGAAGCAGGCTATGTTCATCGACTACAGCGACGACGAGCTGCTGAGCTCGCCGCGCTCCAAACCGCCGACGGCCGAGGACGCCGAGCGGCTGTTCGAGGACCTGCTGAAGACGGCTGCGTCGCCGCCGGCGCCGGGCCGCGGCCACTCGCCGCCGCCGCCGCCGCCGCCGCCGCCGGCCGCCGCGAGGAAGAAGGCCAAGGGCCGCGGCCGGGCGGCCAGCGCCGAGCCGCCGCCACCCTCGGCGCCGGCGCCGGTGCCGGCGGAGGCGGACAAGAAGAAGCGTCACCGGCCGGGAAAAGGCGGCAAGCGCGGCTCGAAGAGCGCGGACCGCCGCAGGAAGTCGCAGCACATCGACAGCGACGTGTCCGACATGGACGATGACTCATTCATCGACGGCCTAGCCGAGATGAGCTCTCGGCGTCGTGCCGGCCGGACGGAACCGGAGGCGCCTGCGCCGCCCCCTCCCCCACCACCGCCGCCACCGCCGCCGGCCGGCCCGGACCTCGACGAGGATGATGATGACGACGACGACGACAGCGAGACGGGGTCGCCCAAGAAGATGATCGCCCAAGGTCGGATATTCGCCGCCAAAATGCGGCGGAAGAAGGCAGAACGGCAGGCGGCGCCGCAGCGGCCGGCGGCGCCAGTCAAGTCGGCCCCGGTCAGGGCGCCCCCGCCGTCGCCACCGCCGCCGCCGCCGCCTCCGCCGCCCAAGTCGGCGCCGCTGCCGCTGCCATCCAAGTCGGCGCCGGCGCCGGCGCCCGAGAAGCATCAAGGCAAGCGGGACAGGAGCAAACAGCGCGCGCCGGCGGCGGAACAGGAGCGGCCGCCCGGCAAGAGCAAGGAGAAGGGCAGCAAGAGGTCCCGCTCGCAGAGCAAGGACAAGAAGGAGAGCAAGCGGAAGAAGAGGAAAACGCACGGCAAGGAGAAGAAGGGTCACACCGTGCCAGAAGAAGTGGACAGCGTCGAAAAGGTGGGTGCAGTGACGTGGGTGTGTGGATGTGTATTGGTCTCTGTTGGGCATCCCTGTGCGTGGAATACGTAGACTTCATTGTGTGAGTCAGTCTTCTGTGGCTTTGCTGGCATTATGGATTACAAAATTGTTATGCCGAAGGGCCTCTATTGTGTTATGTGCCGTGGAGTTTAAGTGGACTTTTAGCGAAGCTCCCGAAAGCCCCAGAAAATACTACTACGACATGTCGACGTTCCTCAGCTTTGGTAGGATAGGGAATTGTCTCGTGTGTTGCTTTTGCTGTAGAAGGTTCGATCCGTGTAGAGTTGTCGTTTGCTGACAGCAGGGTATGCTGGGTGTCATTCTTCGGCTCCTACTTTCCCGATATTCTTCAGGCAGTGAGCGTGAAATTTTCGTTGGGCTATAAGCTTTTGTTAGTTTTCATCCTCAGCAATGTTGCGTTTCATCTTTTACCTCACTGTGTACCGTCGCTTGTGAAGCCGGGCTGGCATCGCGCCGTTAACTGCCTTTCCAGTCCCCTAACCATTGGCCACCATGCTCGCGAACTCGCGACTGTGCTCTGCCCTGCCACCATGCTGCGCTCTGCGTGCTCAGTTGTGCTTTGCACCTGTTCATACCGTAGTCGCTGATGAGCTCTCCTGCGTTGGAGGCACCCCTTTACGTCTGTGTGTTCTATCCCACGTCTCTGGCCGTGTTCGCCGCCAGCCAGCGACCGTGTCCGTGCTGACGCGGTCTCTCGCTGCCGTTGCAGGAGGAAGAGGCGATCAGTCCGACGCTGCTGACGCCGGCCACGCCGGCCAGCCCGGTTGTCGAGCCAGAGCCGAAGCCCAAGTCAAAGCCGGAGTCCAAGCCGAGGCCGGGGCTGGAACCAGATCCGGAACCCGAGCCGGAAGCGGAACCGGAACCGGAGCCGGAGCCGGAGCCGGAGCCGGAGCCGGAGCTGGAGCCGGATGACGAGTACGCCACGCTGCCGGAGCCGCTGCCGGCGCGGCGGCCGTCGTCCGGCTCCGATGCCGAGGCCGAGCTGCGGCCGCGGGAGCGCGACAAGCGCCGCGACCGCATCCGGCCGCAGGACATCCTGCGGCAGAAGAACGCCGCGCTCAAGGATGCCGCCGAGCAGAAGCAGGCCAAGCCCAAGCCGCTCTTCAACAGCCGCTCCATATCGAAGGAGGAGAGCGCCAAGCTGGGCCAGCTGATCTCGCGCGTGCGCGAGTCGCGCGGCGGCGGCACCACGCTGCTCTCCAACGGGCCCGGTCTGACCATGGGTAAGGTGCTGGGCGGCGCTGTCGAGCGCGACAAGTCCGGCGCAGAGATCTGGGAGGAGATGGTCGGTCGCCGGCTGAAGGCGGAGCCGGCTCCGCCTGACCGGCGGCGCAGCGGCGGCGACGGCGACGACGAGCCGCTCCGACTGATCGCCGAGCCCGAGGAGGGCCGCGAACTGCCCGTGCTGCGGAAGACGGCCACGCCCAACCTTAGCGCCTGGTTCCACGCGTTCCGCTCGCAGAAGGAGGCGGAGCCGACGCCGCCGCCCGCGCCGCTGGCGCGCGTCAAGAAGCCGCCGCCGCCGTCGCCGTCACCGCGGGAGGAGCCCAAGACGCCGCGGCCGCCCCCGCCGCCGCCCACGCCGAAGGAGGCGAAGAAACCGGCGGAGGAGGCGGCCGCGACGGCGAAAGAGGCGCCGGCGCCGGCGGCGGCCGCGACGCCGGCGGCGCGTGAGGAGCTGCCCAAACCGGCCTCGCCGTCCACGTCCGCCTGGAAGCGGGCCGGCTCGCCGCAGCCGCCCGGCCCTGCGCCCGACGCCGACCCGTACAAGTACGACGACGACGAGCTGGAGAAGGCGCGGCTGCAGGTGAAGGCGCGCGAGGCGCAGCGACTCGAGAGTGAGAAGCGCCGCCTCGAGTCGGCCAGCTCGCAGTCGCCGGCGCAGCCGGACGCCAAGTCGCCGTTCTACCAGACCAGCTCGGAGAGCGAGAAGTCGCCGATGACGCCCGGCTACGGTGGTATCGTGTCGCCGGCGATGGAGTACCAGAAGTCGCCGGCCTTCTCGCCCAAGCAGCCGCCGTCGGCCGGCTTCGACACGGCCAAGTACAACGGTGGCGTCAAGCCTGGCTTCTACCAGGACATGACGCAGAAGACGGCCAGCCCGGACAAATCGCCGTACCGGCGGCCCGGCTCCGTGGCCAGCACGCACTCGCCGGCCTCGGTGGCCGGCAGCCCGGCGTACCAGCCCAACAGCCCGCAGGTAGGGCCCGGCCGCGGCCGCCTTCTCCGGCTACTACGGCGGCGCGCACAAGGAGCTGCCGGCAGCCGGCGCTACCGCCAAGGCGGCCGGTCAGCTGATGTCGCCGCCGAGCCGGCCGCCAGGCCGCGCCGCTCCCTCGCTCGCCAGCCCGGACCCGGCGGCGCTGCTGCGGCCCGCCGACGACAAGCCTGGCTTCCCGTTCAAGAAGCGCGTGCAGGCCGACCTGGCGCTGGTCGGCCAGGCGTACGCCCAGCCGCAGCCGGCCGCCCAGCAGCCGCAGCCGTACCAGCAGGCGCACAGCAAGCCGCAGTCGCAGCCGGCGGCGGCGGCGGCGGCCGGCTACCAGCAGCAGCTGGCCAGCGCGTTGCCCGGCAACCTGGCCGACCTGTCGCAGCTGGTGACGCGGCTGCCGCAGCAGGAGGCGCGCGACAAGGAGGCGACGGCCGGTGCGAGCCTCACCACCGTCGAGGAGACGGCGGCGGCCGCCGTGTCGGCAGCTGCCGCCCGCCAGCTGCTGCAGCGCCAGAAGGGCCAGCAGCTCGAGCACCAGGTGCGGCTCATTCAGGAGCAGAAACAGAAGCAACAGAAGATGGCCGGCGAAAGGCAGCAGGCGGAGAAGCAGCAGTTGCAACAGCAGCAACAGCAACAGCAGCAGCAGCTGGCCAACAAGGTGGCCGAGCAGCAGCTGGCTCAGCAGGCGGCCGTCTCAACCGCGAGCATGTCTCCCAGCTCGTGGGACGCCAACTCGGTCTCCTACTTCAAGCAGATGGCCAGTCCGCACATGCAGCTGTACCACCAGCAGCAGCAGACGATGAAGGCATTCCAGCAGCAGCAGCAACAGCAAGAACAGCAGCAGCAGCAGCAGCAACAGCAGCAGCAGAGTCTGGAGGGCGGCGGCAAGTCGGGCGGCAGCAAAGCGGCCACCACCACCAGCTCGTCGGCGTCTGGCCTCAACCTGGGCGGCCTCGGCGGCCTGGTGGCCGGCGCCGGCTACAACCCGCTCGGCCTGGCCTCCAGCTTCCAGGCGCACTCGCTGGGCGGCAGCACCTACCCCTACCTGCTGGGCCAGTCGCGCTCGCCGCAGCCGGCGCACCAGAACTTCTCGCAGACGCACGCGTCGCTGTCGCAGATGAGCGGGCAGGCGCGCGGCGCGGCCGGCTCGCCGCACAGCTCCCAGGCGTCGCTACTGCCGCCGTCGCCGTTCGGCGCCGCCTCGCGCAGCTTGCCGCTCACCTCCGACCCCATGTACCAGCAGTACTACCGGCAGCAGGAGGAGCTGCTGCTGCACCACCAGGCCGGCGCCGCCATGATGGGCCTGATGGGCGCCGCCGCCGGCGGCTACCCGCCCGGCTACCCGCACCTGCCGTCGCTGCGCCAGGCGCCCGGCTTCCAGCCGCCGGGCGGCGTGTCGAGGTCGCCCTTCTTCTAGCGGGCCGCGCGCCGGCCGCGGGCGCCGCCGGTCGGCAGGCCGGCCGGCTCCGCCGCGTACAACTACCTGTGATACCCTGCGTTTTTTTTTTATTTTGTATCCGATGTTGTGCCGGACACGCGCGAACGTGCGATTATCATCATCAGGTCTTAGAGTTTGCCAGCGTTTGCGCGCGCTGGAACTACCCAGGGGAGCCTGTCGGGACGCGGTCGTATGGGTCTTCCCGATCAAGAGCCTGACGTGTAAGCATATGCATAGTGACTAGGTGCATGGAGCTTGTATTATCTCTGTACAGGAGTTGCACCTATAGCTGGAGTTTAGCATGCGTTCATGTTGTCCGCCAGTTGTTTTAGAGCAGTATTGCGTTGTTTTACGGCCGCGGTTCGGTTCGACGCATAACCGAGGTGGGGGAGAGGCGGGCGCCAATGCACCGACACCATTGTGTTTGCAAGTGACTTGACTCATGCGCGCCGGTCATCCTCCATTCACAAGTCTCATGTGGTGTACTCTGGGGTTTCCGTCTGTCCCTGTTTTGTTTGATAGATCTCATTGTGGCCTGGGCAGCACTGATCATTGTAGATAAGCGTACGACAAAAGCGTGCAGTGTGAACGTTTTTTACAATGTTAATGTATGCATATAAAGCCAATATGTCTAGAGGCCATGTTTCAGACCGTGGGGAAACTGAACCCGGAGCGCCGAGCACACGGCGCATATTACAGTGACTTGTAACGACGTTCAAACCCGCTGCTATACCTTGTTCTCAGTCAAAGCGTTTATTACATCTAGCATCACAGTTGGTTGCACAGTCGCTATATGTTTTCGCAATAAAATCTCGCTGCATCCATCAACATGCGTCACTAACTAGCCGCCTTCCAGATATTGCCGATTAATTACGCTCGCAACATAACACGTCTTTGGTCTTATATCAAGAGAACGAGTCCGCACATCACATCGCGCCCCTCCGCCGCGGCCGTCCGCCGCCGCGGAGCTCGCAGCGCGCCGAAACCGAGCCCGGCGCGCCGCGCTCGCCGCACGCGCGCCCTCGGAAGCCAAGCCACAGGCCCGAATAAATAGCGACTGGACCGCAGTCAGGCGCCGCCCTGCCGCGAACCGAACCGAGACGGCGGGCCGGCCGGACAATCACAGGTCAGCTGGAATCACGGGAGCGCTGTTCGACACCGGCGGGGGCGGCGTCGCGCTCAGCTGGCGCCCTTCCCCCGCTTCGCCTTGGGCAGCAGGTGTCGCAGCTTCTGCAGATTGGTCTTGGTGATCTGCAAGCGGCACAAGCACGCGTCAGTTGCGCACAACAGCTTGTCGGCGCACGTCGTCCAGAACCACCGCATCAAGCCCACTCGGCTAAACAACGCAATCTGTCGTCTACCACGTCCTTGCACACGTCTAGTGTTGAATGCCGCTCCCGCAAAAATAAGTGGTGCATCCTTCACATGAAGGTTCACGGCAGGGACAGCCTGAACTGGCGCATTCGTGGCGAGCCGGCCGGCCCGTCTCGGCCACCGGCCTGTGGCGCTGGCGGCAGCGGCGGGGGATCCCTGCCCTTCTCACCTGGTCGTCGGGCTTGATCTGCAGGGCCGCCAGGTAAGACTGCTCGGCCTCCACCAGCTTGCCGTTCACGTGCAGCATAGCGCCCAGGTTCATGTGGCTCGTGGCTTCCTGCCGAACGGGACGGACAGCGTAGAAGAAAATGAGGTGGGCCGGGTGACAAACACTAGCGTGCCTACACCAACAACCTCCGGCACTCGCTCTCGACAACGAACGACTCGCGAAATGCGTTGAAAGATTGCGGCGGGGAAATATGGCAAACAGTGAGACCCTCGACGTTCTTTTATCACTCGCAACCTTTCCCGCTGCTAGGATGATACGCCGCACTTCTGCTCAGTTGTATGAGCGCAGGAAGCTCAAGCCTTAGTGTTCCAGCCATTGAAGACCAGTCTATGCCGGAGTCCAATTCAAACCCACGCTTCTGAACTCGTCCGTGCGCAAATGGATAGTGCTCCGCCGCGGTTCTCACGTTAGGGCGTAGGCGCACGGCGATGCGGTAGTAGTGTTCGGCCTCCTCATTGCGCGCCGCCTGGCGGAGAATGTTGGCGGCGTTGAAGACCATCTCGTACTCGTGCGGCGCTAGTTCGGCGGCGCGCCGGTAGATGTCGGCCGCGAGCGGCAGCCGCTCGCCGTCGGCCAGGTGCTGTCCTGTCGGCGGTCGGCGGAGGGCGGTCAAGTGATGGATGGAGGGGCGGCGCGCGCAGCACCGCAAACGCCGGACGCCGACAGGGCCAGCACGCACCGGGGCCCCGGCTCGAGCGCAGGGCAGTCTGCTCCGCGGCTGCGTGGATTGATGGGAGTGCCGGGTGACACTTCGGAGCTGTGGTCAGCTGGATCGATTTGGTGGGTTTCATGAAGCCGTTAACTGGTGTGGGATTAGGATAATTACACCGTTTAGGAGGATGGGCGTGTGACACTGACGAAGTGTTCGGACACGTACGGACGTAAACACGATCAATCGTACCAAGCAAACCGCAGATCGCCCATCGCGCTTAGAAGGCTTAATGGACTTCAGTGCAGCCCTTACAAATTCAATAGACCAATTTCTTAACTCTTGAAATCCCCACTGCATACATATGTTGGCTCCTAAGCTCTAATCTGTTAGATAACGGCGCACAACGAAGTTGAATTTTATACAAGAGGCGAGCGGCTGTTGGTATTTACGTCACATGGCGACGTACGTCGCGTCACGTCACGCTGCGTTACTATGCTACGTTACGTTACGTTGTGTCACGTCACGAGACACTTAGTGTCCAAGTGTAATCCAAGCTGAACGTGAGCTTAACAAGGGAGCTTCAGCCAACTTTTAAAAAGCTTTGATCAGTGGCAGACATATCCTTGACAATTTCCAACTGCATCCACGTGCCGTACTGAGGCAACACTCAACGGCTGGGAGCAGTAGGGAAATCAAATTACTGAATTCGGGAAAAACGAAAGGCTACATGAGCCACGCCTATGCTATGAGCATGCTCTTGGCAGATGGAAAAGTGTTGCACTGGGCTCAGACTGTTTCAGCTCAGACACGCATCATCATCGTAATCCGTCGCAGGACGTGTGTGTAGCAGGTACAATTACACGATGCACATACCGGTCTAGCTCAGACCAGCTGCAGTGAAAAGACAGACGACGATTCGCAATAATGCGACTGAATATTCACCTTAAAAGCGGCGCATAGAAACAAAGCGCTATCACGCAAAGGGCAACAATGAACGGAAGCAGCTGCTGCGCCAAACACAGGGGCAAGACAATGACGCGTTTGCGAGGCTGAACCAGACCACACGACCCGTCACGGTGAACGCGGCGGAGCAGCCGCGCTCAACGCGCCAAACGCCAGTCCATCAAGTCTCGGCCGGCCGGCTCGGCGCCTTTGCAGGGCACTCCTACGCCTGCAAAACAGCACCAAGCGAACAATGGGGCGGGCCGGCGAGTTCCGCGGCGCAAATGCTTCCGTGTGTTCCGTGCATCGTTTCCGCGAGACTCCAGATGCGCCGATAGGGGACAGCGCCGGCGTCGGCGGCCGATTCAGCCGTCGAGGGGGTCCGGTAAGCCGACAGCTGTCGTGAGGCGGCCGCTCGTCGCAGCCGCACGCGCACGGCCATCGGCCACATCTGGGGCAAACAGGAAATTTCCACCCTGGATTCCGCCAGTCTGCAAGCAAATATGCTCTTTTTTCCTGTTCGCGCGATAATGATTGCATGAAGCCCGATGCGAACTCACGCCATCTGATACGCTAGTTAGGACTGCACGACGGAGGAATATTAATTGTTCCTTGTCAAGATACAAAATGGGCGGCAAAACATCAGCTTTGGACGATCGAGGGATGAGGCGACGAGCTCTGTCGGCAAAAGCACGTAGGGATAAAAGTGACTTTGATACGCAGGATGGCAACAGAGTAAACAAAGTGAGGCACCATAGGATTCATTACGAGATGAAGACACATTATGTGAATGAGGACCTTATTTTGTGCCAAATATTGCCAATCCACAACTGATGAAACGCTCTCCACCAGTTTCTGTGCTACAAACTCCGCTTAGAGTCTTAACTCATGGATGGAAATGAACCGCAAAGAAGGACTGCTTGCATTTACAGAAATCTAAATGCGGTAAGACCTTCGCAAGGTTTACAGCGTCACAGCCGAATATAAAGTGAGTCAGTTTTCCTTGATCTAAGAACCTGCACCTCCCCTTAAAAAACGACGCAGAGTAAGTCCGCTTTTTGACGTAGGCATTCAAAAGTCTCGGGAAACATTGCACGCCAATATCATGCACCTAATTTGGAATTCGTGGGTAGGAACAACGCGGACAAGCCTCGCGTGCAGCGTCGAGCGTCGAAATGTCTTCTAATGGAGCCTGGACCGCCTGTAGAACTAGCGATTTCCAGTCAGTGCAGGAGTGGCTCCCACTGCGATGCACTGATTGCAGAATGAAACAATTCCACCGGCAGCCGGCGGCACCAATAACAATAGCCATCAGCCTGCTGCAGGTCCAGCTCCGGCTCCGTGGAGCCGATTGCGGCCCGCTGTTTCGGCGAAAAGATCGGGAGCGGCGGCGCTGGGCGTCGGCTCCACCTCCGCCAGCCGCTGCGCTGCCTGAGCGCCGCTCGCCGCCGGCAGCCTGGGAGCCCACCGCCAGCGGCGCCGCCGCGGGGCTCGCAGTCGGAGAAACGGCGCCGACCGGTGCGCCTGGCGGCCAAGGGTGCGGCCGCCCGGCCCGATGGTCTCCAGTCACGGAAACGCTCCGGCCCGGCCCGGCAGAGGAGCGGCTCTCAGCGGGGCCGGCGCGGGGTGTGGTCAAGCGGGGCCGACACTGAGGCTGGTGTCCGCGCGCCGCGTCCATCGCCGGCGCTCTGTCCGTGTACCTTGTTTCACTGGTGTCCTTGTTGCGAGGTGTTCGGTGTCACGGGCGAGGCCGTCACCAGCTCGGACGGGTCGTGCGGTGTG